ATACGTGAATCTTAATAGAACTTTCGATAAAAGTTGAAATATGATAATTGTATCAGTTTGTATCAATATGCTTTGATAAAATATGACATATTAGTTAATATAGTCAGCTGAGAATATAGTCTAGAATCAAACTCTAAAAAGCTCAACGATATGGGCTTGCTTTGTTCATTGTTTAAGGCACTTTGGTGACATATAGTTGCTTTAATCTACATCATTTGGTCTCTGGTATACAGTTGTCCATTTCAAGTATAACCCTTCTTTACGTTATACATACAAGTGTGGACACCGACGTGTTTTGCCTAATGGGCGAATGTTGATAATAGATTGTGCAAAGGCGGATTCTGATGTAGCCAGCATGCACATATGCCACTTTTAAAGCTAAAATTATATTGTGTTGTCTGATAGCCGGGCTAATGTGGAAAATGCTTTCCATTGAAAAAGACTATATTTCGGGACCTTTTAAAGCTGACTATGCGGTATGGGTTTTGCTAATTGTTAATCGCGATATGGTGACCTATAGTTGTTAACTTCTATGTCATTTGGTCTCTCGTGAAAAATGGTCTCATTGGCAATCATACCACATTTTCGTATTTTAATATACACAAGGTCATGTTTTCCCAGACTGTTTATAACCTCTTTACACTAAATGAGCTATACTCAAAACAGTTCATATCAATTATATTACTATATTAATTTATAGCTTTTTGGGGTTTTTTTCTAATGGTTATTTTGCGTATTTAAAGGGATTACATTCATGACAAGCATATGTTTAGACGGTTTAGGCGAGTGTCTGCACCCTTCTTCCTGATTGGTAATTCCTCAAACAGAAATATTTTTTTCCGAAATATGGGTTCATGAATATATACTATTTTCCCTTACATATATAATGCAATGCACAATATACCATGAATGATAAGACCCATTATGCCCCAGCCTAAAACACATAAATATGGTGCATTATTTACGTTCTCAACAAGGAAAAATAACTTTCCTGAAATGAAAATAGCAAGATAAAACAACATTAGTCAGGGTGTGCATCGATCAAAATCACTGTACATTATTACTTTACCTTGAATAAATGAACAATGAAGAGATGTAGGGAAAACTTAAATGAAAAAGCATCTCAACCACAAAAATAACCAAATGCCACCTAGAGGACATCATAAGTCTTCAACAATAGACCCGTTTCTATACAATATGCCAACTCTATATTGCACCAAGTCTATTAAAGTTTTGAAATATTTTAACAAAAACAATCAAAGATATGCAATAAACAATCAATTCTCCAATTAACGAAAAACATAAAGATGACATACGACAGCTATACTGACGATGTTTCTGATTTGGGACAATGTTTTCTTTTTTAATTCCATGCATATTGTATTACCTCGACAATTTCCATTGGAAGAAATAGCCATTCCCTTCATGAGAAAAGACATAGAGAAAAGTCCCCACTCTGAATTTGAGATGAAGAACAGCAATAAAAGCGCTGTTCCTTTGCTTTTGGTGTGTTTTTTTGCTGTGCATGTACTGATTTTGTGTCATGGATGGATACCCAATATCCTTTGTTTTTCTAATATAGACATGAAATCGTGTACATAAAACATTTTGGATTTTCCTGTGGTTTGATTTTGTTGTTGAATAATATTCCATTTAGGTACCTCCCATTTCACGTCACCATGTATTAATGTTAAACATAAAGCTATTTAATTAATGGATCCGTCGGTTTTTATTTACAATCATGTAAAATAATTGCCTCATTTAACTTTTCAATAGCAAACTTGAAACTCACTTTGCTATTGTAAGTGTTATATTAAACAATCATGAATTATTGAATATTATATGCAAATGCTTTCTATGAATTATAACTAGATCGAATGATTAAATAAGTAAAAAGTAGGAAAAGTTTTGGCTCATGCAAGTCAACTTGAAAATGAAATGGAACGATTGAAAATTGGAATATGATCATTCTATCTAATATGATATAATAAAAGATGACATTCTGGTTAATGTAATAGCTGAGAATTTAGTCAAACCCAGACTCTAAACAGCTCAGCGATATGATTTTTGATCATTATTTAAAGCAATACGATGACCTATAGTTGCGTAGATTTAGATCAGTTGGTCTCTGGTGGATAGTTGTCCGTTTGCAATCACAACACATCTTCTTATTTTTGATACGAAAAAGTGTGGACACAGACTTGTGTTATCTAATGAACAAATATTTATAATGAATTGTGCATTGCCAATTCTGATGGGTGTTAGCATATGCAACTCTTAAATCTAAAAGTATGTTGTGTTCTGATAGGCGAATGTGGACACTGATTTACATTAAAAAGACTAATACAGATACTTCAGGAAGTCACAAAACTCTAACAATAAAGTACAAATCTGGAAAAAAACACTCACCATGATTGATGTGGTTCTGCAAATATGTCGTTTTTGGTATTTGATTATGTCATGTCTAGACTCCAAACTGAAATTTAAATGATGTAGATAAAAAATAAAATTTGATAGAACCTTTAAAATATGAGTTTACAGCAAGAAAAAATATAGTTCAATACCTCTGAAGATCAGTGAACAATTTTGATAATGATTCTGAAAATACAATGAATACATTTAGCGTCTGGTTGGATCTGTGAGTTTCATTCAATTTACTAAGAGTTGAGATGAGGTATAGAAATATGGTGATCCCTTGGTCTTCATCATACCGGTAATAAAACCCTATTCCCAAATTTGGGCGTCCGTTTGGCTCTGCTGGATGTATAAATTCGCAGCAACGTCCAGTCAGAATGGGGATGTTAAGGTGAGTGCCACACTCTTTGCACATTAATTACCCTTACAACAACTCTTTGAAGCGTTCGTAGGTTTGCAAGGCTTATTTTCTTTTCCTAACCAATATACCGTTATTTTCCTCTGGCATTCTATTTTTCCCGCCATGCATCCCGGTCGACTCCTTATAATTGCAGTTATTGCATTAATTGTTAATTTGTTCTAACCCTGAACATGCACTAAATATTTGAATCAATCAATAACTGTTTAATATAAAATATGAAAACAACACGTTAAATAATTTCTTGCGTCCGAAGGGCTTTTCTGGATTTACCTTCATCAGGAACGCTCAAAGCCGAATATTTGAAAGCCGAGGATGTATAAGAACCGAAACAGTTGGAAAAGCTATATGATAAAAAATACCTAAAAAAAAGCCAAATCCATCGAAGGTCAACTTTGCCTGAGGGAGTTGAAACCTTAGTTTCTTTATAATTCGTGTAATAATTTATAGTATGTGATCATTTGAAAGGCCTAAAACACATACAAACGGTGCAGTATCTTCTCAATGTTGACAAATTACTTTCCATGCAAGGAAAATAATTGTCTCAATTTTCTTGTGGTGTTAGGAAGTTTTATATATATATGACTTTCTTTTGCTTTGAATTTGTCTGCGACAGTTTCTATTGTACATAAACAAAGGACATGCATAGTATTATGTGAATTTCTATTAGATTATCAGCAATAAGTCATTCACACCGTGAAACAGAGATTGATCGATAACAAAATATAGGACGACATGATTTTTATATAAGATGTTTAAGTAATTAGATCGTGCTTGTAGTAACTATGGATGCATGACTTTGGAATGCTTATCTCGTGGCAAAAGACCAATGCTGATAGTAACAACGATACTAACAATGACATGTTAAAGTAAAGAGATTCAGACAAAATTAATAGTGAAAAATGTTTTGGAATTCTATGTTTTTTGAAGGAAAAACTACTACCTGGATATTCTATGTCAAACGTTCAGGAAATTTCGTAAATGGTCATAACTCGGAAACTATTTATCGTAGTGATCTACTGCCTTCACCAATTGACCCCTTGAAATAAAACCTTATAAAAAAATCAAATTCAAATCTGTGACACCGCAATTACCTTTTCTAAAAAGTACATAGAAACTTTTTACTTTTCGATTTAGGTACACAAATGCTAACAATGTGAGCATTGTTTCACAAAAAACCATTTCTGCTTTTCAAAAGTCACTCTCTGTTTTCAAAAGTACTTATTAACCCTCATTTTACATTTAGTATAGCATGGAATATAACATGATACAATCTTCAACCAAAAAAGGAGCTTCCGGTTTTGAAAATGCCCTCCTAGTTATAAAAATACTAAGCAAACATATATTTTTATATAAAAGAGTAAAAGTTTTCACTTGGATCAAATTTCAACCAATCAAGGCATGTGTTTTAAACAAACAATCGGCATTCCCATGGGAACCAACTATGCTCCTCTTCAGACTTCTTACATGATTTCCATAGGAAGAATGAAAAGAATCTAGCATTATCCTTTACCTTTACGTCCAGCTATAAAGATACAGTTGGCACAACTTTTTAGAAATTTTCGAGTTTTAATACTCTTCAATATCGTGTCTGATTGAGCCACTGATGAGTCTTATGTAGACGAAAAGGGCATCTGGTGTAACAAAAACTACAAGCCTGGTATCTTTGATGAACTTTTTCGATACGATATTCCACATCTTTCATACCCTATCACGATTTCCTTGACTGAGTGTTACTGCTTACAAGGAAACTATTGAACGAAGAATTCTAAGTGGCGAAGTTAAAGTCATCCCTTCGAAACTTATACTGACGTCATCAAAAAATATTTGACCTTTACGGAATACTTGTTTCACAGATGACGACAGATATGTTCAAATTGTCGTTTTTTCCTCGAATGTGACATCTAATAAAATTTATCAACGAATTTGTACTTATTTAAGCAACACGACAGATGGCACATGTGGAACAGTATATGCTTACACTTCCTGAGTACCTGTGATCACCCCAGTTTTAGGTGGGGTTTATATTTGTTTTGTTTTATGTTGTTTTTTGTATATTGTTGTTTATCTTTTTGTCGTTTTTAATTTTTTTCTTATGAGTTTAAATGTCCCTTTGATATCATCCGTCTATCTTTTTCATTAATACATATTTTGTTTTCAGGATGCAGTCGATATTGCTCTCTTTCGTCTGTTGTATTTTGACAGTTGGAGCTGGAGATACCGATTTTGATTACCTTTTGGATCAATACATCCTAATTTGCGGCAATATGCTATGCAATGTAACCAAAAATTTTGCCCCAAAAATTCCAGCCTACTTATCGACTTGTACAGAATGTTCTTGTGATGAAAACTGTATTTTCGATGGAAGCTGCTGTCCAGATATTTTTTTCTCTCTCAATCTTGAATGCACAAACACTTTAATCGTTTCACACAGTTACGAACCGGGTGACTTATTCGAAGATTCATTTCTGATGAGAGGGACTTGTCCCGAAGATACAGATTCTTCCTGGAAAGCTAATTGTGAGGGTAACAAAACCCTATCAGAAAAGATACAATTTCTACCCGTAACCTCTTCAGAAACTATGATTACATACAAAAATAAATTTTGCACTCAATGTAATAATGAAAGTAAATTTGAGCAATGGCTATTTAATTCAGTGTGTGGCGAATTCGTAGATTTTAATTTCATTTCATCCTTAGATGAAATACTCAAAACAGCTATAGACAAAAAATGTAAAATAAGCAGTAAGTTAGCTGGATTGAAGACCGTTGGTTGCTTTAGAGTATACGGATACAACACCATAAAGATTTGTAATGTATCCGGTTCTTGGATAACATACAACAAAGATATTGAATGGGCATGTCTGAATTACAATAACAAATTCCTTGACTTTAAGAATGTTTTTTGTTACATATGTAACCCACCAGTAAAAGTTGAAGAAGTAATAACAGATTGTAACATTACAGGGAAATTATTTTTGCATGAAGATTACCCAAATGTCCAGACAGCTTGTAAAAAATTTGGTGCAACAACAGCAACATATCCTTTCAAAAATATCTACTGTTACCTCTGCAATTCAATACCTTTTCAAATTTACATAAATGACAGGCGTGTTTTTATGTATTTTGATGCGAATGTCAATATAGAGGAAAAGGTGGTAAACGGAAAATTCTTTAAATATACTTTTGAAATAGATTTTTTTAACGCTGAATTCATAGATAGTTATTTAAAGACACAAGCAAATTGGTCTTCCGAGACACATTTGATGATAAATAACCGAGTTAATCTAACGGAAATTTACACATATTATTATGCTATGACAGGAAATGGTCATTTTTGTGTAAATATATCATCTATTATAATGGCAGACGAAAGACATAATTGTGGTTGTTATGATGGTTGCCACTTTGCTTATAAAAAGCCATGCTGCATCGATGCTGATTTCAAATACTCAACCTCGTGTATAGATGGTTATCTGGTGTATGACGGATGTGAAGATATAGCTATGGATTTTAAAATTTTGTCATACAAGTGTCAAAACATAGAAGAGTCATCTGATTTGTTTTCATCTATTCCAGTTCATGGTGAACAATCAAATGCAAACTACAAAAACATTTACTGTGCCATGTGTAGAAACCACAAAACTAGTTCTGAAGCTAATCAAAAAGCTGACAGTTTCTCTATTTTCCTGACGTTCAAACCATGGAAATTTACTTTAATATGTAAAAGTGTCATTCCAATATATTTCCATGTTTTTTTGTCACACTTATTTGAAACTCGATTTTTATCGAGTTGCAAATTAACATTAGTTCCAGATTTTTGTCACATACGATGTCCTATTAGACCGGATTATACCAAAAGAAAAACTAATATTTCATGGGCTTGTCAGAACTTTGTGTCTACACCTACCAGCTTAGAATTTTACAATAGAATTAACGATTCATCGCTTAATAAGTATAAAAATATATTTTGTGCTTTGGAAGATACGATTTATAATAGAATTCCAGCTCTGAAACAACATTGCAATTTCACTGGTCGGTGGAATTTTATTGACAAGCTTTTACCACAAAAATGCAGGCAGCTTCCGCAAATTGATTTCCACCTTCCATATAAGAATATCTTTTGCAAAATGTGTAATGAAGAGTAAAAGGAATATATCAATAATTATGTGGGCTACGCTTCTTGTTGGCAAATATCTCCTACTCATAGCTATCTTTATTTCCGAAGTTTGTTCTCATTTTTATCATATGAAAAACAAGCGGACAGCTTAGGTCAAGGAAGATGCGAACAGAGCCAAGTGTATGATTCTATAAAGGTAAGATTTATTAGACGCTGATTAATGCTATTACTGCGTTCTAAATTTAATGTACATTCTAAAATAAGCAGTTGAGGATTATGCCATAAAATAGATAAAGCGCTAGTCAAGTAAACCAGAACTGAACTCTTTTAACTGAATGGATAAAAGCTGTTCGGTTATGCATTCAGACGCGTTTTCAAAATCTGCGATATACAATAAGAACACCGGTATCTAACCCTTACAAGAAATCCGATGCTGTGGATGTTTTATCCTCTTTTTAAGACAAATATATTGTTATTCTAGCAGAAAAAGCCTCAAACAATGGTGTTTTGATATGCAAACATCATTATTTGGAATGTCTAACTAAAGAACTTGGAATGCACAGCAAAACTGGGAATCATACACCAAGCCTTACACATGTTACATCAATCACGAGTCCTTTCTTCTCCTTTTTTTTCGTTTTACATAAAAAGGGCGCACAGATCACCCGTCTTATTTATACTGAATGCTCATATTTTGCAAAAATAGCTATAAAGAAAGATATATCGATAGGTTGTGAATGCTTACTAATTCTAGATATTTACACTAAAATTATCAGTTATAAACTTCACAATTTCGCAAACATTTGAAACTACAACCCAATGCTCAATTGAAAGATGAACTACATCGCCATATAACACAGAGTTTTTTCTCACATAATATGAATCGTTGATACAAATTTCTTTTTGAAAGTGTAGAAAAAAAAACTTACTTTGTGAAGAACCACACAGATTCAGCAACAAATACATTAAAAATTACATGTAAGAAATGCTGGACATTTTTATCGACAACATATTTGTAAAGTTCGGTTGATTGATATTTTAACAAACTGTCAGGATTTCAATTCGTACTTATATGCACTCCAGCTGTGCTGAAATGAATTAAATTCATATAGAACCTTCTCAAAGACAAAAGAAGAAAACATATGCAAAGTTCTTTGATTTAACTTTCGGATATATTAATGATAACTTGTCACTCATTTATCCAAATTTCAATGACTGCTTCCATCTCATATATCCCAGTGAACTTGAAATTAATGAAATGTCCACTACGATATAAAGTCTGCTTCATATCTTGATATTTTCCTCTTTATTGACACAGATGGACGACCTCAAACTAAAACATATGACAAACTAGATGATTTCAACTTTTCTATTGTCAACTTCATATTTCTCTGCAGTTATATAACATCTACCCCCTTCGTATGGCGTTTAAATATCTCAACTAAACCGTTACTCTTGTGCATCTATGTCTCAAGTCACTAGCTACTTTCTTTATTCCGAATAGTTGCCTGGTCTGTAATTTTACCAATTGTTTCCTACTCCCGATTGTAACATTTTTACCGAGTGTAGATGGTCCGGGAACACAGTTATCGTCCTTTGATTTTCGTTGTTTACAAATCATATATATTTGGTGGATGATGAGAATTCTCCTCCTCAAAGTCCAAATTTTAGAAGTCGATGTAAGTAGTTTTAGAGCAAAATCTGTCAGTTTCTCATATTTTTTTTTATTCTGATAGACTATCTTGAAAAGTTCCAAATTAATTTTTTTGGACATTGAAAGCCCTGCATAAAAACTGATTATCTTCATAGGGTACGAATAAAACATATGGAACAATAAAAGACATGTATACAATAATACGAAAAAAAAGTTCCAGTGTTGGTAACATTATATGGCCAGCCAAACAAACTGATTGATCAACTGACTCAATCAAAATGAAAAGAGAATTACACTTGTGCTCCTTTTTTGTAATTATTTTTCATGCTGCATGCATAATTCAGTACAATTTACCTATAGGATGTGCATGAGTAATTATTTACGTGTGCATACGATATTTCAGAGCTAATGTATTAAGAGTTTTTTTTCATACGCGAATATTAATTGGTTGAACGTTACGCAATACTTATATCACAGATGATCACCCATTTGCTCCGTCGTTACTATAATACTGTCTGCCTTTCGTTGGTAATGACGTGTTACTGAAAAAGACTTGAAACCGGATTTTTACCTGTCATGCGAAACACAAAGGGTCCTTTTTTGGAGCAGAAATTTAAGACCCGCTGGTTCACCTGAGTTCACATTCGATATTTGATGCTGTGTTGGTATAATTGTTAGGTGTTTATGATGTTTATTCAGTATATATTCAAAAAATATATACCATTTATATTCACTCTTATTGGTCTATAATATAATGGTATTTTTCAAGGTTTCATTTCAAAATTATTTTTTTAATTAATTTAAATGTGAATTTTGTCTGCAATTCATATACATAACTTGGAATAGTTGTGATGTGAACGTACATAAGTTATCAACTAAACGACACAAAAGGTTATTTAAGGGGTGAACATACTGTTTTAAGCATTTTTAGTATTTGTTATACGTGTTATATACATGTAAGATATATTAACGAGACCAGCTGGCCAGAATTTTGTGTTTAAAAATTACAAAAGAAACGGTTAATTGAAATTTGACGTGGGAATTTCCTATAAAAACGAAACAAATACCTTGTCATCATAATGCAATATATTAATTGTCACTTTGTTCAACTGATTTACAGCAACACTTCTTTTACAGGATAAATGTCGTGATATTGTGTGTTACCCTGGACGTGTATTGATTAATGAGACGTGCATACCACTTCTGCCATACACTTCTAATCTTGGTTATATACTTACATTTGGAGTTCATGTTCAATCTGAAGCTCCGATAAAAAAACAACAATACTTTTTACAAATAATGAAAAAAGAAATTCTGATTCAACTAGGCAGACAGTTGAATAGAACAATTGTTCCCTTTCTTGAAAGAATGATTTTGAAAGTGAATACCACGTGTTCATCAGATGTGAATTTTATTGGACCATATTTACATATATCGGTATTTTTGAAATTATTCGTTAACGTCGTTATTAACAGAAAAGAAATTGAAACAAAACTTCTACAGTTCCAAGAAAAACAATTTTCATTTGAGCATTATTGTTTTCGGCTTAATAAAATGCTAAATTGTATGATAAAATGCAATGTAAAATATGATAATGGTTCACTTTATCTGCCGATCGATGTGCCTTTCAGAAAGTTTGATATCACAAAATGTTATCTGGAGACGAAACGTATGATTCCTGAATCTCAAAGATATATTCACTCTCATATCAGTGCTTTGCTTGAGTGCCCACAGATAGAGTTAGATAAAACAGAGGTAACGATCGATGAATACAACCTACTTAATGTACCACAATACAGTACCGTTTTAGATTATCACAATTTCTATTTAACCAGATCAGATCTGAACCCAAGGATTTGTGTAAGTACGTTTAAAAGTATGATGTTCGCTTCTTCAGAAATGAGTGTGTTACAGATAATAATTCTGATATTTACAATAGTATCGTTACTATGTTTATTCCTGACTTTTATTACTTATTGCCTTTTTGAGCAGCTACGAACACTTCCAGGAAAGAACAACATGTGTCTTGTCATTGCTTTATTTTTTGCTATGGCCTTTCTAGAATTTGGTTTGAACAAAACACACGTTATAACTCTTTGTATTGTACTGGTAGGATTTATTCATTATTTCTGGTTATGTACATTTTGTTGCTTAAATGTTTGTTCCTTTCACATGTATTGCACATTTAAAAGGAATTTTGTTTATCGACAAAGAAGTAAATCAGAAGAACGAAAACGTCTCTTGCTATACATTCTATACTCATTTGGGGTACCGGCCATAATCATTATTATGAATATACTTTTTACAAATTTCCTCAATGTTAAACAATTGTATGGGTATGGCGGGAAAATGTGTTTTATTTCAGAAAGGTTATCTTTCATTATAACATTTATTGTTCCAATCACGATCATGTGTCTGTTAAACGTCTTTTTCTTTATATATTCAGCACATTCGATTGCAACGACTCCAAAATTGAAAAATGATGATTCCTATCAACACAATTCAGTAAATCTAGCTGTTTACATCAAACTATTTACAATAACAGGCAGTTCATGGATAATACAAATAATAGATTCATTTCTTCCCCTGTCATTCTTTTCCATAATTGTGTCCCTGTTAAATGCTTTGCAGGGAGTCTATATTTTCGTTGCATATATATGCAACACACGTGTTTTTATTCTTTATCGTAGTTTAATTTGTAATAAACCTGTTATCAAATCTGGTTCTGAATCACGCAATGTCACTAAAAATGAAACTTATTTGGCATCAACAAAACTATGAACTAAACAGACAGCTGCTACGTCAGACAGAGATTTGCATCATAAAATGAAATAACATGGAAACGGTTGAAACTTTTTGAAAATTACGTTCAGGTAAGATGCGTTATGTAATTATTTTTTTTTCATTTAGTTAAGAAGCTGTGCATCATATTTGCTGACATGACTGGTTCATAGCCTGATCTACAGATTTACAGGAGTTTGATAACACTGAATGTATTATAATACCTAGATATTAATGTTTATTAAATCGCATTGTATTGTCTAAAATTACAACAACAACAAAAAATTCCAAATGTATTTCTTGAATTGTTGTTTTGACAGTAGACATTTTCTAGAATGTATAATTTAGTAAACACGCCTTGTAATCGAAAAAAAATTATGAATCATAAGTTGACAACGCTGCAGACTTGAACTATTTACTGGTCTAGTACAGTAACTGTCAGAATTTTGCCGTTTTTTCCCCCACTCCGTTAGGAAATTATCTTGTATAATATATAGCGTTTCCAAAAGTTGGTACGATTTAAATCATTTTTAAGAAAAAGCGCAGGGACACCAGCGGGGAAGTTTAGTGTGAAATTTTATAGCTACAAGGACCCTTTATCGTCAGTAATGAATCGTGCAACAAAATTATAGCTATTTTCGCTTTATCTGATATTCATGTGACATTTTGATATTGTGTAGCAAGAAGAGGAGACGGTCTGTAGAATGGGCGATCTACATCGTCATTTGGTCAATAAATGTAGAAGCCGTTTTCCATTAATGAATATGAACTTATAATAAATTTATGTTACTTGAAATAATATTTTTTACGGTATGTAAGTTAGATAATGCATATTTTATTGTTTTACTTTCGTATAACAATTAACACCCTTTGTAGTGTTAGGATTGCCCAATGAAAGACACCACTACGTTCGGAATGTCATTGGATCAATCATAACACCCCTCAACGACAAGCAACATCTTAAAATATGCATTATCTATGTATCATTATTGTTTATACCCCTCTACTACCCTAAATATTAATGTGTAACATTGTGGTGTGTATGCAATGGTGTAACTGTGTAAATTAAAAAAAAATACTTACATGTAGAATACTTAATTTTTCATAACTGCCTACATCATACATGACATTGTCGTTTAATAAGCATTACATGTATGTGTTTCATAGCTTATATGTGAATAAAGAATTAAAAAAAAAAATAAAAGTACAGATTTAATGCACGGTGTCAACAAAGAACACTGTTTCGTTTTACATCAACATGAATTGTCAAAATAACAATTAGGAGTAGTATTCGGATATTAGTAGAATCGGATAAATGTCAGAATATTTTATACAGCAAAGGTAACATATGCCGACTTGATCAGTTAAAGTAGTTAAGTATTGTTGACGATCATAATTACAAAAAAAAAAAGAAATGTAGTTAACACTTCAATCCATTTAAAAAAATCGCATTGAACTTCATTATCGTTTTAATAAGTGTTGACTTATAGCTCTTAACGTTACAGTGTATTTACGCATGTCAAATGTTTAGGTTAAATCGTTCCTGATGAAGGTAAATTCAGAAAAGCACATAGGACAGAAGAACATTATAAATTGTTTATTTCATTCATTAGCACTAGGTCGATACCAGAGTTGGTGATCTGTTAGTCACCAATATTCATTTAATGATCTGGTAGTCACCAGCGGTATCATCACCTCAGTAGTCAGTGTGTCGGTACTGACATGATTTATAACATATACTATAAAACTCCCCGTTCACCAATTCCAATTAACACGATAGGCACCTCTGGACTAACCATCAGCAAGCACAATCGAAAGCAAAAGTTCGAAAATCAAAACAGTTAAACTCTTTAGGAGCATTAAAAGTTAGAAAGGCTTTATAACATGAACATCTCATCTTAGCTAAGTTTGTATTGCCTTATCGAGTAATGTTTTAACCTTAAATCTAGGGACAGCAGTGACACATTATGACTCTTTATTAAAAACCACCGGCTTGACACGAAAATATTATATCCGGTACAAATGACAAATGACAAACGTCAAATTTGATTTGGAGAAAACATCATCACTATTCATGTACACGTATAATATCGTTTTAGCGAGGAAAACACATGCGTCGTAACCACCTTGAGTACAATCGGTCGCATTGACCGATTCAATCATTACCTTCTACTTCAAGGTTTTATCAAATATATACGTATATTATATCATATACAAGCTCTGTAGTTGTACTTGTTAGTTGACATTGTATGTTGTTGGCCATCCACAAAAAGTGTCTGCAAAGGATTTATAATGTGTCTTTATAAATTTATTGATACGTTCCACATATGTATTTTTAAAATTATGAAGCGGTATTTAGAATATAACAACATACCACGTACTAATAGGTTGATGTTAAGTATCGCCGTAATCTTGGATTCAATCGTGAACACATCAGCCAATTAGTGAAACCTTCAAGAAATTGTCGTGATCACGAACCAACAATAACAAAGGATTATTAAATGAATATTGGTGAATATTGTCCTCAATGCAGTTCCATATGACACGATCTTTCGAGTGCAATACATATCTTAGGAGGGATACTGTTCACCAGTATTTGAAATGCTCTGTATGACATTTGTTGTTTCTTTACAATACAATCCATTTCATTTTTTACATGTATTATGTTCTTTTCTGGCATTCATGTACATCCGAACTTTTCCGTTGATTTCGTCTGGAATGCTTGAGACCAATTGTTTGTACACGTATTTAAATATATTTGAACATGAAAATCCTAAAGGTGTTTGATGAAAATAGAGATGATAGTCTAAGGACAACTTTACTTGAGCAGTTGCAACATAGTCTTGATACAATTTCATAATTAGAACACATGAAAGTAAGAGACATTCCGTTTTGAATTTTCCTTGGAGTTCCGAAGTTTTATTATTTTACTTTTAAATATTAAAATGCATCATTTAGAAAGACATGAGTATAGGACAATCAACGTATATGTGTTCCTGCTAACAGAAAGTATCTTTAACATTGCTATAAATAATCTTTCCCGTCGAAAATTTTACAGACGTTGGCCGTTATTGAATATTTGTTCCACAGGTAACGACATATATGTTCCAATTGTCGTTACCACGATCATGTCCTCTTCCCCTCGAATGCGATCTACTGAATGAGACTTATTACCAGGTTTGTACTCTACACAACGGATGCCACATGTAGAGAAGGAGCTGCAAACTCTTCAGGAGCACCTGAGATAACCCCGATTTTTGTGGGGTTTGTGTTATTGAGTCTCTTATTTTCTATGATTTTTTTGTAGACTTGTTTGGTTTTTTCTCTCGATTTTCGTTTCTTGCCATGACATTGTCAGTTCGATTTTCGACTTATGTGTTTGACTATCCTTTTCGTATCTTCCGCCTCTATTTTACAATATTGGTTCATGTTGGAAAAATACTGGTGAACAACCCAAGTAGGTGGTGAAATTTTCAAAGTACGTACGTCGAGGTTGTGGGATCGATTTCCTTGCTTTTTCTGTAAATTTATCAATCGTGTTATATTCCCGATCGTATCAAGTCAAGATTAGCTTGCCTGGTGATGCATGCATAGCATAAGATGCATATCTTGCGGACACATCCGGTCTCGAAACACAAAAAAAAAAGATCTACTGGTATGGTCAATTCATTTACGCTAAGTACGCACCACTAGTAATTACAGCTAACACGGTCAAACTTTAAGTCAAATTCATATGTCCTGATGTAGCTAGAACGCTTATAATTTACATCAATCTATCAAAAACAATAATGGAAATGCTTCGTTTTAATCGTTTTATTCATTATTTCCACGGCCGTAATATAGGCATTGCTATTTGGTCAATTTAGAATAGCATTATACACTTAAATAAATGTCGATTAAGTCGTGAAATAGAAAGAGTCTTCAAATTTGTGATTTGGTTTTATTCAAAGCTATTTTTATTGAAAATTTGACTGTGGGAATCGTTCTGGAACTCCTTAATGTACCTAAATATAAAGTGTTGTTGAAATCCTAGCACATAAAGAAGAAAATCCTAGTTTGTTAACTTTTAAAGATAAATATAGTACGCATTATCGAGAAAATTTATCAACACACCGAAAGCCCTATACTAAGTACTCCTTTCCGAAAAGATAGAGAAAATTTCTGGATAAGAGAATTAAGTGCTGCAATGCCATATGGTTGCAATGATAACATCAAAGGAGTGGAAAATTTATCAAGTCCAGCCTTCAGTGATGCAAATGTAATAAGCTTATTTAATACTACTTTAAGACACCAGCGTAGTCATGGGCAAAAACATTTCCATCGGCCCAATGTGAAAAAGTCTTCCAAATTTAGATCGCCCTCTGAGAGCTTTGATGACCTTCTTTCACATCTTCATCATCCGCTAAGGTTACATTACACTGAACTGTCGGAACTGCCTGTTAATATCTTTAAATGTTTAACAGATTAGGCACTTGACAAAGGATGCATAAATACTTGTTCTTCAATATACAAACTGGTCAGTGAAATTTGTGATGTAGCTCTTTTCCGTCTTTTCAACCAATTAAGATCGGAACCTTTACATGATGAAAAGAGGAAATTCCTTCCACTTCAGTTTTCTAATAAAGGAATTGATGCAATCAACATCAGCAACGTTCTTCAACACAAGGAGGTAACATCTAAAATTCCACTTATTTCTAAAATCAGTCTATTCCTATTGTATCCTACAGTTACACCAAAAGGATTTAACTATAAGCAAGCATTGCAGGACCTTGATTTAGAAGAATACCTACAAAAAATCTCTGACATGTGACTGTTCCCACTCGCCTTATATTTACAGCCCATCTGGCCATGTTATTACTGGGCATCCAAACATAATTCAACATGAACATCTCCGAAAGGTGATATATCATGGTCCTAAGTTCAAAGAACCCCAACACATCAATTGGAGCCATAGCCTTAAAATAATTATGGATTTCATTGCCAGAGTATTGGCTAAACGAAATGAAGTTGAACTGGACACTTTGTCAGAATGGGTCAAAACAATCAGGTCTCTGAAAAAACGTTGAATTCATAAGTTGAGAAACTGTGTGAATGATCTACCAAAGTCCGTTTTCAGAGACAAAGAAGCTGTGAAATGTCTATTATCTCTTCACCATAAACATGTTGTAATTCCAGCTGACAAAGCTTCAAATAATATTGTCTTTGTACGTAAATCGTACTACTACGAAGGTCTTGTAAAAGAATAAGGAATAAATAAGCACTCAGGTAATCCCACATACAAAAATAAATCATTTGATAAAGATGAGATTTTGGCGAATCATAAGTCCTTCTTGGCTTCAATGAACATTACATTGAACAGCAAATCTGAGGACTTACCTTGTTTGTATTGGACACCTAAGCTTCACAAAATTAAGTACGAACAACGGTACATTGCTGGCTCATCTACATGTTCTACAAAGGAATTGTCTATTAGATTGACACAAATTCTGTCCGCAGTGAAGGAGGGTCTTCAGAAATAGTGTGAAGCTGTTTACTCGCATATGTGGATTCAAAAAAAAAAAAAATCTAAAAAACTTCTGGGTAATTTTAAATCTCGATCTTTCTCTGAAATCAATTCTATCAAAACTTTTGATTTTTTTTCAACCCTGTATACCACCATTCCCCATGTGAAAAAAACCGTCTAAAATAGATAATCTACAATGCTTTTCAATATAAAAATAGTAGCATACGCTATAAAATTATTACTTTGGGATACCATATGGCATATTTTGTTGATAGTGAACATAAAGGTAAAACATGCTTCACAGAGGAACAAGTGATTAATATTCTGGAGTTTCTTATTGACAACATATTTGTTGAATTTGGAGGTAGACTTTTTCAAATTGTTGGCATTCCTACGGAAACAAACTGTGGCCTTCTCCATGCCGACCTCTTTTTTTTTTCATATTAGTTGGAGTTCCTTCAGATACTTGTCAAAAACAAAAAGATCAAAGAAGTCAGGTCATTTAATTTCACATTCAGATATATCAATTTCCATTAACAATTCAGACTTTTCTGATTGGGTTCTATTAATATATCATTCAGAACTAGAAATTAAAGCAACAACAGACTCGGCTTCCTCTGCTTCATTTTTAGACTTCTACCTCGAATTTGACATAAGCGGTCATCTAAATACCAG